TGCAGCGTTTCCATCCTCAGCCTGAAAGTGCAGTTTTTCTTCATCATAGTCATATCTACCAATCTGCAGGCGGATCATTTCCATTTGTTCCCGTATTTGTGAGTCTTTCTTAGACCATCGTTAATGTTCACACACGCTAACTTCTTGAAACCCCTGGGAGCTGACAGATCTAGGAAACAGGAAGACGGGAAACTCTTCTTTGCTCGGTTTGAGGTTTCTGCACATGAATCTGATATTAATCAGTTGTGATTTCCTGTTCTGCGATGTGGTTTCAGAGCAGCGAGTCAGGCAGTCACGCCACAGTGCAGAGTCTTGTGTGAGAGTGGAAACCCTCTTTAACCATAAAAGGAAAGCTTTAACAGCTCCTGTTTAGGATGTCTGATGTCACTATGACAGTTTTATAAATAGAGTACATTTGATAACATTAATATTGAAAATGCTAAACGCTGAGGACACAAACATTTACACGGGTTTACGCTGAAAGCTGCAAATAAAACTTGACAGAGAGGAAACGGTGTGCAGCTGAGAGCCGTGATGAGGTCAGAGAGGTGAACCAACAGAAGGATTCTAACGGTGATTCTGTCTTAAACTGGGAGCCAATGGCATTCAGTCCCAGGGTCACGTGGTCACATGTCTGTGGTCACGTCCTGCAAACGGAACGTTACAATACTCTAACTGAAAGCATGGACCAGCGTCTCTGAGTCGGTTTGGAGTAGAAACTGTGAACACAGGCTAGACACAGGAAGTGACACGTACAGCTGTGTATCGTCTGCATAGAACAGTAACCCCAAGACTGAAGCTCTCACTTCACTTAGATCATCCTGTCGATGTTTGGACACACCTGTGCTGTCTTACCTGAGCTCAAGGCACTGCTGAGCACTCCCTGTGTGTGTGTGCGTGTGTGTGTGTGTGTGTGTGTGTGCATGTGTGTGTGTGTGTGTGTGTGTGTGTGTTTTACAGTAAAACACGTTGACGTTTTTTGCTTTTTGAAAAAAATCATC